CGAACAACATAAAAACATTCCTATATATGAAAGGCAACAGTGCGAGCCCGGCCGACGGGAGGGGACTACGGTAGCCGGCAGCTAGCAGGACGGGACTGCCAGGGCGTAGAGAAGTGCAGACAGTGGCGAGGTGGGGGAAGTGAAAGGGCGAGGTGAGGATTTGACACGCGAATCCGAGCGTGTTTGTGGAGAAGTGCAGACAGTGGGGGGAAAACAAAAACTGAAAAAAACATGGACTGGCCGAACTAATACCCTCGATCTCAGTGGAGAACGAACGGTCTGATAACATAAAAACATTCCTATATATGAAAGGCAACAGTACGACCGGACGCACGCCACCATTCTCCCACGACCGCCGCCACGCTCCCTCGCAAGACTACAAGTCGGTGCCCGGTTGGCAACCGCAACCCTATTTCTCGCGCAACGACGCCCTCTAAACCCACTTACCCGGTCGACGACATTCCCCATACGGAAACCGACCGCTAAACGACAAAAGACATCCATCTATATGCAGCCATCCTGGCTGCGAACAGAAAACCCCTCTTCGCCACACAGCATGTCGAAGTGAAGAACTCACAAGTCCTATGCACAAAAGAGACAAATTGGGGTGAAGATAGGGCAAGCGTTTGTCCGTTCTCCTTTTCAAGGTTCGGGCAAAAACTCAACATCCCATCTGAGGACTGTTGAAAATGTCCAAGTTGCAGGCCTGAAGTGGAAAAGAGCCCTTCTCGGACGTGTAGAAACCCTTTCCCTGACAGCTCCTGAAAAAATTTTGCATCTCGGATTTTTTTTTTTTTTTTTTTTTTGGCCTTGAGGTATTTTCATCGGACTAACCAGCGCAAGTAAATTCAATATTGTGTCTAATCTGACACCGGGTAGCCTTTTCAGCCCAGGGCGGCCTTGATTACTTTCACGGAACCCCCAATGGGGGACACCGGCTAGGGGACAACCGATAGCAGAGGGACCGAGCATCATCTGAGTGGCCAGTCGTTGTGCCTCCCCGATTACCCCTGTGTGGCGCGGAGAAATGTTGAACATGCAGCTTTCGACATTGGTGTGGTGAGGCCCTCAATGTATCCCTGAAGTATGGGCCCTGTCACACCAATGTCGAAAACTGTATTCTCGACATTTTCTCCTCGCCACACGGCATGTCGAAATCCAAGATGCAAAAAAAATTCAGGAGCTGTCAGGGAAAGGGTTTCGACACCTCCTCTCAAGAAGGGCTCATTTCCCAGCCTGCAGCTTGCACATTTTCAACAGTCCTCGGATGGGATGTCGAATTCTTGCCTGAATGTCGAAAAAGAGAGCGCACCAATGCTTGTACTATCTTCACCCCAGTTTGTCTCTTTTGTGCATAGGACTTGCGAGCTCTTCACTTGGGGCCTCGTTCCACTACTCGCCATTCGCCACACCTGGCGAACGCGACTTCGTTCCATTGCATCGCCAATCGCCACAGAACAATCTATGTCAGAAATTCGGTCCCAAAGCACTTGGCGGTAGGTCGCCACGACCTCTCTATACCCCCGCCTGCAATGGGCTTTCGTGGAGGGCGGCACTGGTCACCCTTCCACGAATTGCCATGTGTGGCGACCGACCCTGACACCGCGGCCCTGGCAGTAGGCCTGGCTTGTCCCGTTGTGCTGGTGAGCGTGGTGTGAATTTTTTTGGCCTCACCACACCACTCTCAAAATGTGAAAAACGAGCGGGTGCATCAGACCATGTTCTAGCAGTAAGTTCATTCCCATTTTGCACATTTCGAGTGTGGTGTGGCAATGCCCCTGGTTCCGTGTACATGTAGAGAAAAGCCAGCACCGTTCCACCGGTCTGCCATCCGCCACAGTCTAGTGTTCAGGCCGGGACGGTTACCGCAATTCGTGTGGCGGGGGCCACCATATGGAACCATGCTTCGTTTTCCGCCACGATTTTCATGTTTTCGGCCTCGCCAAGACTCGTCATGATTCGTGGCAGATGGCGAGTAGTGGAACGAGACCATTGGACATGTTGTGTGGCGAAGAGGGTTTTTCTGTCGAAAGAGGGAATGTCGAGAATTTCCTGACATATGTCGAATTTCGTCATGTTTCGACATTGATGTGGTGAGGCCCTATTTTCGAAAACCCTGTTTTCGACAATTTTGCATCGCCATACAGGCTTTCGAAGAATTGCGGCTAAAAAAACTTTCGACAACTGTTAGAATGCTCCTTTCGACAACCGCCCTCCAGCCATTGCTTCCACCAGCCTGCAGGTGACGAAAATTCGACAGTGGTCGGACAACCTTTCGAAAATTGCGTTCGATTTTGCGTTGTCAAGGACTGATCCGTCAACTTCCGTGAAACCCGTCCGCCTGGCCATGACCAAAAACCTTGCCCGTCGACAGCCTGTGTGGCGGAGGGGGGGGAAATTGTCGACCGCCCGACTGTCGAAAATTTTCTGACACCTGTTGAAAATTTTCGACATTCAACAACCTGTGTGGCGATCCTCTATATCCTACAAATATAAGGGCCTCGCTGCACCACTGTCGAAAATGTGATTTTTTACAGTTTCTCTTGGCCATGCTGTGTGGCTAGGAGAAATGTCGAAAATGCAGTTTTCGACACTGGTGTGGCGAGACCCTCAATGTATCCGTGAAGTATATCCTACAAATATAAGAGGCTCGCCACACAGGCTTTCGAATGTCGAAAAATTTCGACAGGTGTCAGAAAATTTTCGACAGTCGGGCGGTCGACAATTTCCCCCCCCTTCGCCACACAGGCTGTCGAGGGGCAAGGTTTTTGGTCGTGGCCAGGCGGACGGGTTTCACGGAAGTTGACGGAGTAGTCCCTGACAACGCAAATTCAAACGCAATTTTCGAAAGGTCGGTGGGCCACTGTCAAATTTTCGTCACCTGCAAGCAACGGTTGTTGGAGGGCGGCTGTCGAAAGGACCATTCTGAAATCTGTCGAAAGTTTTTTAAGCCGCAATTCTTCGAAAGTCTGTGTGGCAATGCAAACTTGTCGAAAACCGGG